AATACCAAGTATTAAATGTTTGGTACATTTTAATACTTTTCGTACTTGTTAGTACTTTTCGTACCTTTAAGCACTTTTTTTACCCTCTTAGTACGAATTTCCAAAAAAACCTATCCTTATCACGTGCCTACACACCAAGACTGACCCTTCTGCAAAATTTCAAGAATCTAGCATTAGTCCTTTCGTCTGGACGTTGATTCTCAGTTAGTCAATCAGTCTGTACGATATTTCACAACTCTCTTACATGGAATTGGAATATTGGAATCATATTAAAAATATAAAAAAACCGAATAAAAAAACGCAGAAAACATCAACAATGAAGGCAACCCTTTTTTGGCAGCTGTCCTTTCCGCAAATATTGCCAAAAAAAAGTCTACAACAATTTGTATCACAAATTACCGCAATTACGGCTGATGCAACTTTCGGAAATTTCCTTCCAATTTCATAATCAAGAGTAATAATAACAACAACGCTGATAAAACGATTAACTCCCTTTTTACGACAAAAAAAAAAAAACATTCTACGAAACATGAATTTCAATTAGTACCTTCATTCCCGTACCTACATTCTGCCTAACCAGCCCGCACTTGGTGTGATGATGCATGCGTTTCTCCCCGTTTGTTGACAAGATCACCTGCCTTCTGTTTACGACACTAAATATGTGGTAAATTGTTAACATTTCCATAATAATAAGCAATTAAATATGAAATTCTCCTCCAACCATTCAACCGTTTAATGGAAGACCGACCCCCTTCTCCCTCCATTCAAATAGGGTTTTATTACCTATGGCAGTGCGTTCAGTGTGGGGCTTTCAATGGCATTTATTTATCAAGAGTCAACAATAATAAGGGAGATAGTTGTGGGAGTCTTCTTTACTCATTGGGGTAAATAAATAAAGAGAATTGGCTATGCTCCAATGGAGCTTTCAATGTATTGAACGGTTATTTCTCTTATTGATTTGATAAACAACTTATCTTCTCACTGATATCAAATGAATAAAATAACTAAGAGACCCAGTTACTTGTATTCTCTTCTCTACTCAGCCATTTAATCAAAATCGATAGAGAATAAAATACCTTCATTTGTCGATTTGTATGTGTGTCCAAGCACGAGGTATACCTCGTGAAGAGTAGCCGTTGTATTAACTGAGAAATCAAGATAAAATGTGAGACAAATGCGGTTTGTTGTTGTTTTTGTAGAGGTAACTGGTTTTGTTGTTCACATCATGAGAGGGGTTATGAATGATTCGATAAAACACGAGAGGTTTTATTAATAGGGTTTCTATAAAAAAAACGAACGAAGGAATGAAATAAAAACAACAACTCTCGGCAAGTTATCTCAATGAGAGAGAGCATTTAGGTATTTCATTTGATTATTGTAATATTTATACAAAAACAAAAATAAAACTTCAATACAACAAGTCATTGCTTATGTATTGTTGTGGTTAGAGATGTCATTACGGTATTTTTATAAAGGTAATGACACGTTTATACCGTAAATATAAATGCTGCCTTTTAAAGAGCTGTAAAATCCGTAAAAATGTATGTAATTCTACCAGATTTTTGCATTGCAATTATGATTGAGTGTAGAAAAAATGAAAATTATTTAAAAAAGGTCAATGTGAAACACATTTTATCAAAAAAAAATCAATGTGAAACAAAAAAAAAAAAAACGTTTTGAGATTGAATAATATTTAATTTTTACCGATTTCTAAGGACAAAAACACAAGTTACAATATCAATGCTTCAACTTTTGACCTCCTGATTGTGAACACATACTTTATGGAAAAATCGATGGTCTTAAAAATTTCCAAAATTTTATAATTGGTCAGAACGTTTTGCAAAATTGTGAAAATTTCTCATATTTAACAAAAATAGGGTTAGATCTTAAAAAAATGATTTATCGTCGATATTTAAATATAAACATGTTATGACGTATTTATCGGTTTTGACGGCAGATGGATAGCTTCAGGCAGTGTTCATTTATTTAAATATATTTCGGCTTGCGTTATGATTATTCATAATGTTGACTCTTAATGTGGGAGGTTCTGACGGAGTGGGACAATATTGCCATTTTGATATCTGTCTAAAGTCTATAAATATTATTCCGTATATATTATTATTCTATCGACCGCTTACATCACTGTATATGAGATAGCCGAAAAAGTGATATAGCGGACCGAAGTATGCTACTTCATCAAATATTGATAAAAATATTGGAGTGTGCAAAATTTAAAGAAAAACATTTATTTCCAATTTTATATCTTTTTTTTAAGAAATTGTAACTTTTTATGTGGGAGGTACCAGAATGGGTAGACCGATAAATTCCAAATTCACAGAAGATCTTGAATTTGTAAAAATATTGGGATGTGTGAAATTTGAAGACAATTTAAAGCTTATTACGGGTTTAAGAACAGATACAACTATTCAAATTTTTTGACCCCTTTTGTGAGGGAGGTACCAGAATGAGTGGACCGATAAATCCCATATTGCCAGAAGATATTATATTAGTAAAAATATTGAGGTGTGTGAAATTTGAAGAGAATCAGGTGCTTGTTTCGCAATTTTATGAGAGCTTTAATTATTCAAAATGTTGGCCCCTTTGTGGGTGAGGTACCTGAAGGAGTGGGCCGATATATTCCTTCATTACACCAGATATTGTCTTCATAGAAATATTGGGATGTGGGAAATTTGAAGGGAAGGGATCGGATGCTTATTTCGCATTTTATGAGATATAAAATTATTTGAAATGTTGGCCCATTTGTGGGGGAGGTACCAGAAGCAGTGGGCCGATATCTACCACATTCACAACAGATCTTGCGCTAGTTAAAATTTTGGTGTATGTGAAATTTGAAGGGAAATCGGATGCTTATTTCGCTTTTTATGAGAGATAAAATTATACAAAATCTTGACCCGTTGTAGGAGAGGTACCTTAGGGAGAAGTCCGATATATTCCACCTGCACACCAAATATTGTGTTCATAAAGATATTGTGATGTGCCGAGTTTAAAAGGAATCGGATGTTTATTTTGCATTTTATGACCATTTTGATTGTTCAAAATTTTGAACCCTTTGTGAGGGAGGGACCAGAAAGAGTGGGCCGATACATCCCATCTTGACACCATATATTTTATGGAATAAAATATTGATATGTGTGCAACTTGAAGAGAATCGGATGCTTATTTTGCCTTTTATGGGAGCTATAATTATTCAAAATTTTGACCCGTTGTGGGGGAGCTACATGAAGGAGTGGTTCGATATATTCCTTCTTCACACCAGATTTTGTGTTGATAGATATATTGGAATGTGCCGACTTTGAAAGTAATCCGATACTCATTTGGCATTTTATGAGTTCGACGATTATTCAAAATGTTGACCCGTTGTGGGGTAGGTACCAGAAATTGAGGTCCGTTATTCATACCAGATCTTGAAAAATGAGCTCCCGACAAAGCCATTGAAATTCCAAAAAGTGCAAGAACTTACATCGCACACAACAGGAAGAAAATAGACTCAAAAGAGCTAAAGAGTTGCTTCGCTTGGCCGAAAGTGGTGTACTGCCGAATTTGGTTTTCTTCGATGAGAAAACAGTCGTAGTCCAGCAGTTTGTTCGTTGTCCAGCAAACAAAATGATCGCGTTTACTTCCCAAAGAGGTCAGCTGAAAATGTGTACCTTCGGTTGGCCACTAGAAATCAAGCCTCAAGCCGGCCATGGTGATGGTGTGAGCGGCCATAACAGACGATGGTCGCTCTCCGCTCGTATTAATCGATCGTGGCATCAGAATAAATGCCGAATATTATCGCGAAAATTTTCTGGAGGGTGTATTAAAGCCTTGGGCACACAAACATTTTGGCCGCAGACCTTGGACAAAATGGTGGTTACAAAATTAGGTTCCTCGCTTCATTTCCAGCGCACAATGGCCACCAAAACTCCGGATACCACTCCGTTTGGACTATTGTCTCTGGAGTATTTTGGAAAGCCAAGGTCGGCACTAAAAAAATACCAAAACGTCGATCACTTCAAGCAAGCGCTTCGCCGGGAATGGGCCAAAATACCGCAGAGCAATATTCGGGAAGCGTGTGACGGTTTCATTGGCCGGCCGTTGGAAGGCCACAATTCGTGCCAAAGGTGACCAATTCGAACAAATCTAAACTTATTCTAAAATTTGATGCTATTTCCGACATTTTTTGCTTTCATTCAAAAAAATTAAGAAAAGGTAAAAATTATGGCGTTTGACTTTGTTGCAGTTTTTTTTATCTCACCCTGTATATTCCTAACTTAGCCAAAAATATTTCGAATGCTGTCATTGATGAGGCACTCCTCATTTCTGGGGTTATTGACCCATTTATTTGCTCTAATTCCCTTGTTACTTAAATGCCTGAACATATTTTGATACCATTCGAATTTTTCCACCGCCATCTTTGATTTATATTTTCATTTACACCCCATAATCGATAATCAATAATTTGAATTGGCATCCCTACTACTATTAGGTAGCTTCTTTATTTCCCTTTATTGTTGTTATTGTTTCGCGTATATTTTTTGGTGAGATATTTCGAACGTGTCTTCAAAAAACGACAGATATTACCGCATTTGTATTGGAATTTTGTTAAAGGGGGGCTCTTCTGAACAATAATAACAATAATCGAAAGGAGAAGCCAAAACACAATATCGGTCGGTCGGCAGTAACAACAACACACATACCAACACACACGCGACGTGGTCTCTCCTTTCTCATTGAACACAACAACAGCAGCAGGGAGAGTGAGCAAGCAATTGCTTGGATTTCTGATTGTTTTTGGTTGCTCAGCAGCTCACCTGAGCAGTGTTTTGGATGATATTGGTGCATTGGAGCTACGGCGATAATGCTTTGAATGTTACTGTTGTTGTTGTTGTCGCTGTTGTTGGAAAAGAGCACAATGTGTATTACGACGACGACGATGACGATGTTACCTCTATTCGACTCTTGACGACGACGTTGATGTTTTCAAAGCCAGAGCAAGAAATTTCAATTTCAGTTGGAGTTCGTACTTAATAACGTTAAAACATACTCTGGAATACAGAAAATAAAAAGAAACAGAAAAGAAAAAAAAAAAATAACGAAGAAGATATAACGGCCTACTAACCAAAAACAAAAAAAGAGGAATAAATACCTGTATAAAAACAAAAGTAAAGCGGCGGTTGAAACGAAAAGTAATTAAGAAATAGAAGCAATAAATTGAAAAAAAAAAAAAAAAAAAAAAAAACAAGTAATCAAGCACAAACACGTTCTTGAGAAATTAAAACAAGGAAAACAAATACTAAGAAATCAGGATTTCTTGAAGGAATTTTAAAAAGAATATTGAAAATATTAAAAAAAAATCCCCAAAAGAAGCAAATATCAAAGGATTACCTATTTACAAATAAATTTATTTTTACAGAAAAAATGTAAGTAAAATACTGCCAGAAATAACTGCGTAGGTATTTGTATTTTTTTTACGATTTCAAGATGAATCTAGAAATTTTTATTATTTCTGTTGGTATGCAAACATCAACAAGAAATTCCTCAAAAAAAAAAAAAAAAGAAAAAAGTTGAAAAAATGTTGTTGCTGCTGCCAGTCTGCCTGCTCTGCTGTTGTTGTGTTGTGGCCTGGTCTCCACAAAAGGGGGGATTTCACTTTCTTACATAATTTGTGTGTTTCTGTTGTTGTTGCTGCTGCTGCCGCCGCCGCTGTTGTTGGCTTGAATGTGAATTGGCTGGGTTGTCTTGACTTGTTGTCTTGAGCCAGTGCCAGTGTTTGGGGCCAAAACACATGCATGCTGTTGTTTTTTTCTTCTACTTGCTTTTGGTTACAGTTTCAACAACAAAAATCTATGGCATGGCCATGCTGGCCACAGTGGCTCCGAGAAGTTATAGGAAATTGAGTTTTTCAAAAGGAATGCGAATCAAATGAAGATATCAAGGGGAATAAGTAAAAAAAAAATAATGAATAACCAGAAATTGGCCATACTATGTTCGGATATTTTCAAATTGGATTAAAAATATTATATAAAATATTGAAATTTCAGAGAATTTATGTTTATGCCATACTTTAGGTGCCAGATTTAAAAAGATGTTGGAAAATCTCAACGAAATATCGAATAGAAAAGTCATAGTATCAAAAAAACCTAAAGGTCCAATATCAGACCACCGGGAGCACTCCTGACAGCAGAAAAAAAAATCTCCGAACAACCCTACTCGAGAGGAAGTTTCGTTACCTTGTAAAAATCAGCTGGGCTGTGCTCTGTCTAATACCGTGCAACCAGTACCTGTTAGTGCATCATCGTCAATTTCCGATCCACGATCTATTGTAGTGTCTGAAATCTCTCCATCTACTAAAAGCATGGAGTTAATAGTAGTTGCTCCTAGAAGAAGTATATTTCTATATATTCTATCCTCCATTGTAATTCTTCAGTAGCAAATATTGGTAATGATATAAAGTCAAAATAACAGAATCTCTGTGGGCAATGATTATAAAATCTCTAAATCCAAAGAGCTTCAACCCAAAGAGCTACTTCAGGTGTCAGATTTAATAAGATGTTGGAAAAAGGACCAAAAGGACCAATACCAGACTACCGAAAAATTCGCTCGAATTTCGAGCACTCGCGTGCTGAGTGCAATGGTGCTGAGTTCTATTGGAATGTCTAAGGTCTGCCGCCATAATGTTTGCGTGTCCAAGGCTTTAATACACCCTCCAGAATATTTTCGCAATAATATTCGGCATTTATTCTGATGCGACGGTCGATTAATACGAGCGGAGAGAGACCATCGGCTGTTATGGTAGGCCACACCATCACCATGGCCGGCGCTTGAGTTCTGGTGTCTGGTGGCCAACCGAAGGTGCACATTTTCAGCTGACCTCTTCGGCGAGTAAACACATCAAAAAGTTAAATTTACGAATATTTTTGCAGTATTCTTTTTTTTTTTTTTTTTTTTTTTTTTTTTTGTTCAACAAAAACATAAAATTTAAAGTTTATTTTTGAGGTTTTAAAATCTCTAACATATCAAATAAGTTACTCAAATCCAACACGAATCTTGTTATGTTATTCCTTCTCTCTCTCCTAATATCTCCCTCTCTTTCTTTTTCTTACTTGAATCACAAATATCACCTCTAAACATAAAGTGGATCACAGGAGACCTTATGGTCGAAACATGGCCACCTATAAAGTTTAGCTTCCTTTTGAGGCAGCATTATGAAAATTCATAATTCAAACTGGGTCGGAAATACATACGTTTAGCCAATAGATGAGCATTCATGTACCTTAGCGTTTGTACCAAGCCATGATAAAGCATCCGCAAACAGACATATACAAATGATTTTGAACAATTATTACTAAAACTTAATTTTAGAGACCATTTTTAATACGTTTTTCTTAAAAAATTAATTCAAAACTGAAAACTCGGCGAAAGAAATAAATTTATCTTATGTTTTTCTCTTTCATTAGTTAACTCATTTTTATTCTAAAAAATATGAGTTTTTAGGAGTGAAAAGGCCAAAAATTTAAATCTACCTCATTCAACTATTTCCTTTCCCATAAAACTCACATTTCCTTTCCTTTAAACTTTCCCCTTCGATTTATGGACTTGCAATCTTTAAACAGGCATTCATTTGTTATCATTTCCCTTTGCAAAAAACGAATGGCAATGCAATCCAACACTCATTTATTCTCTTCAACTAATTCCCTTACATTTTCATAACGTAGCCACTGTGTGTAGTGTACATGTGTGTCCAACAACTACCATTGTAAGCTCTCACTACGTGCTCTCAGAGCCGTTAAGAAATAATACCCAGCAATGTTAAGATGATAAGTTACAGCAGCAACAAAACAAAACACATCTTCGCTAAGTCGTGGCTCTGTGTGACGACTGCCTGCCATCCCTGGCTAAGTTTATTTGGAGTCGTCGTCGTCGTCGTCGTCGTCGTCGTCGTCGTTTAAGTAATCTACGAATTGTTCATCGTTGTTTGTACGATGCAAACATATTATTTTGTTGTTTGTCTCTGCTGTTTGGGGCTCTCTTGCACTTGTTGTTTGTCTCTGGGTCTTAAAGAGGGGAGTAATGGGTGAGTAAGTGTGTGTGTTTGTGTGTTGCTGGATGTGCATGCAATGAGTATTGCATGCGTTCGTTTGCTGGATGATACGAAGTACATATCTTGGTTTGTTTTGTTTATGAACAACAAGTGTATGAACAAATTGTTGTTGTTGTTAGTGTTACTGCTGCCTTTTGGTTGCACAAGTACGTGCGACATGCGATTTCATCAAAAAAATCACAAAAAAGACCGTATAAAAAATAGCCACTTTTAAACGTCAAAAACAACAAGTAATTTACATGAATTTATTATTATTTTTTGTTGTTTTTATTTATTTTTTTTCTCCTCTAAAATGAATTGCATGCCAGTTGTATTGTTCATCCTCTTGAAATACCCAATACATCAAATGACTTATTATTACTTATTTTGTTTTTTTTTTTTGTTTTAAAATTTTATATTTGCAAACTAATGTTTTTATAATTCAATTAACTTTTTGTTGTTGTTGTTGCTTTTTGGTGGATAATAAAAAAACTCGCAATATAAATACAAATAGAAGTAGTTAAGCTTGACAATCAGACAAAAAAAAAAAAAAAACAAACGCAAGTGTTTTTTTCTTTTTGCCATTAACTGCTTGCCTTGCTGCCATTTATCAAACGCTTCGAGACCTTGAAAATCGCACTAAGGCTGGCTTCGAACATGCAAAATAATTGTTGTCTGGGTAATTTTTGTGTGTTCCAATGAATTTAAATAAATATTTGTGTACAAATAATTCAGCGCAAGCCCATTGAATTGAAAACTGCCACCGGTCGGACCCCCAACCAGACTTGCAGACGTAATAAAATTATTTTAAGACTCGTAAAACTTCCACCAAGAAACAAGTTTCTATAGCCAATGCAGGAATTTGGGATACACCTGCGGTTGCTGGGTTTCTTTCTTCTCTTTCTCTCTCCGTATCGGAGTTAAATGATTTCTTGTCTGCCATGCTTTTTGGAGTCTGACAATGTCTGACCGGCTTTCTGACCCTAATTCATTCAAAGGCTTGTTGTTGTTACTGGTGGATACTAAACGAAATGGCCAGAAGCCTGTTATGTTGGGGAGGGTAATACAGTTGATCGATAAAGTGTACGTACGCTTAGGTATAGCAGCAATAAATCCGAATTTATGATAAATAAAGTCGTCGAGATTTTTATACTCTCATTCATATAGGTAAGTGCGCCTAAGTTCAACATGTCCCAAAAGTCGGCATTTTTGCCCTCAGCTATATGGCAATAGAGGGTTATATATAAATTAATATGGGCAAAACGTGTCTCAACGAAACAAGTGGTTTTAGACTCAAGGTCTCTTTGCATCAAATCCCTTTCAGGACATTTGGAGTCGATCTAGGGGTGCCCATCTGCCTGTCCGCCTGTCTGGCTGGTGTGCTAGCTCTCAAAGGAAGTATCCCATTTGGTCTAAACTTGGAACAGCGTAATATTATCATCATATATGGATCGTGTTCGGAGATGGGTATTGTCGGAACACCTCTTCTGGTACCTCCCCCACAAAAAATCAACATTTTCAATGAAACTAATTTACCTCATAGAACAAGAAAAGATCAACCGATTTTGATGAAACTTTGCAAATTCTAATATTTTTATCTGTGCTAGGTTGGTTGGGAAAATTGACAATATTCACCGACACCTTCATGTACCTCCCCCGCAAAGGGTCAAAATTTTGAATAATCTCAACGCTTATAAAATGTGAAAAAAGAGTCCGATTGTCTTCAAATTTTGTACATTTCATTATTTCAATTAATAGCAGATCTGGTATGACGAACGGACCCCTTCTTCTGGTACCTCCCCCACAAAGGGGTTAACATTTTTGAATAATCAAAACGCTCAAAAGAATTCAAAATAACCATCCGATTCTCTTCAAATCTCGTATATACCAATATTTCTAAGTATACAAGATCTGGTGTGAAGATGGTAAATAATGGCCAACTCCTACTGGTATCTCCCCCATAGCGGGTCAAATTGTTTTGAAAAATTATATCTCTCATAAAATGCGAAATAAACATCCGATTCCTTTCAAACTCGGCACATATCAATAATTTTATCAACAAAAGATGTGGCGTGAAGATGGTAGATATCGAAAGACACCTTCTGATGTCTCCCCCACAGCGGGTCAAAAATTTCGAATAATCATAGCTCTCATTAAGTTCAAAATAAACATCGGATTTCTTTCAAACTCGGCACGTCCGAATATTTCTATGAACACGAGATATAATGTAAATGTGGAATATATCGGCCCACCCCTTCTGGTACCTCCCCCACATTAAATGCAAAATTATCATATGATTCTTTGTAAACTTCACACATTCTCATATTTCTACTAACACAA